AAATGACACCATACTACTAGCAGAAAACGTCCAAGAACTAGACCAACTACTAAAGAAGGTCAAGGAAGAAAGTACAAAGGCAGGCTTACTGCTGAACATAAGGAAAACAAAAATAATGACCATGGAGGATCTACATAAATTCAACCTAGACAATGAGGAAATAGAAACAGTAAAAGAGTTCCTATACCTTAGATCAAATATAGATTAGAATGGGGACTACAGTCAAGAAATCAGAAGAAGGCTAAGAATGGGGAGATCAGATATGAAAGAACTAGAATAGATCCTAAAGAGCAAAGATGTACAATTAAACACAACAGTTAGAATGGTACAAGTAATTGTATTCCCCATTACCATGTATAGATTCGAGAGATGGACAATTAAGAAAATTGATAAAAAGAAAATAAATTCATTTGAGATGTGGTGCTGGAGAAGAGTGCTGAGGATACTGTGGAGAGCCAAAAAACAAATAAATGTGTTCTAGAACAGATCAAGCCTGAAATACCCCTAAAAGCCAAGATGATTAAAATGAGGCTGTCGTCATGAGAAGGCACAACTTGTTCGAAAAGACAATAACGTTAGGAAAGGTGGAGGGAAGTAGAAAGACAGGAAGACCACATGCTAGATGGCGGAATCTATTAAGGTGGTCACAGGTATGAATCTGAAAGAACTAAGAAGAGTAGTGGAGGATAGAGTCTCTTGTAGATATCTCATCCACTGGGTTGCCATGAGTCAAGATCAGCTTGAGGGTGGTTAAAAACAACAACAAACAATCACAGAGTTTGAAGGGAATGCAAGGGCCACCTAGCCCAAACCCCTGTTATGCAAGAATACACAATGAAAGCATTCCCAAAGCCACCTAACCTTTCTTTAAAAACCACCAAAGGAAAGCCAACAAAGGCAGTCTACTCTACTGTAGGACGAGGTAGTCATAATCAGTTCCCGACTGTTATCTCCAGTCCTTATGAGGAGATTGAAATGTGGAGTCCCTCTCCCCAGCAACATATTACCAGTCTTCTGTTAGGAAGTTAATCCATATAGAAGTGGGAATCTCAGTCATCTCCAATCAGTGATTCAAGATAACTGCATATTTCCCCAACGTGCCCCTTGTCTTCCCATTGGAAATGCCAATAGCATGCAGAGAAATCCCTTTGGATTGGTAGGGAAATACTTGGAAGAATGGCATCCCAAGGAACATTCATGAGTCATATGTGGCTCAGATTAGATCTATAAACCAGAAACCCCCTAGTCTAAGGGAGGGCTGGGGAAGTCTAAGGGATGAATTTGTGATCTACCCTCATCCCTGACATGGGCTATTCAAGTCCATCAACATCGGAGGAGGTAATCACAGGTTCCCCTCTTTCCAGCAAGAAGATCCAAATACGATATGAAGACAAGATTTCTATGAGACGGTGTGTTTGCCAGGCTTACAATTTCTCCAAGTCTGAAATCACATTTGCATAAAACTGTGAGTCTTTCCACTGCTGTCTTTGAAGGTAATATCTCAGGGTTGCAAAACAGGCTGAAGCATAATTGCACTGTGTGCCCTACATATTTGTTAAAAAGCAAAATGCAAAACAAAATGTGAAGGGCTTTTCCACATAAACGCACACGTCAGACACTGTTATGCTTTTCACTATCAGCTATCTCTTAAGTAACAAAGAGCTGATTTATGTGACAGTTACTGACGTAGCAATTGCAAAAGACAGGCAGTAGCATTTTTGTGTGTCTTGTGCAGATGAAGACTGGAAAGTGTGTAACTCAGTAGTCTGTGACATTGTGTCCTGCCAGAGTTTTTTTTCCCCTTAGAGCTAACTAACATATAAAAGTCCTGTGAGTCCAACTCAAGACATTTTGCTGCCTAAGGCAGAACAGAAATAGCACCTTTCCCTGCAAAACCACAATGCTTTGTTCCCAAGGCCAGCCAAGCTATTTTGGCATTTGAAGCAGACAATATCAAAAGCGCTTCTTTCCATCTTTCTGGCATTAAAATTAGAACTATAATAACCTAAATAGCAAATTGCTGCCTCTGCATGATACCCTAAATCTGTCTGATGTCTGGCTGACTCTGTTTAATGGTATGGATGGTCCTGTGTCCTGCACTAAATACTTTTCTGGGTAAAATTTAGTATGAAATGTATTCATAGTTGGTTGACTTTTTAGAATCCTATATGACTTACTATGCAGAATAATGGAAAACCAGCACATATGTCAGTCACCTCACATGCAGCCTATGTTAATTCTGGCAAGTTGGAGGAATTGGCATATGAACTTCCAATGTTTTGAAATCTTTTGGGGAGGCCCATCTCTCTGTCCTACCACCTTCACCTTCTACCACACATTGTGTAAACATGTGAGAGATCGCTCCCAGACTTTGGAACGTCCTTCCTACAGAGGCTAGAGTGATACCCTTTCCTTGTTAACCTTCTGTAGGGAAGTAAAGACATTTTTTTTTGCTTTAGTAAGCCTTTAAAGATTGATTGTTAGCGGAGAAAGGACCTTTAATAATGTGATATATTGTCTACATTTATTTTTTTAATGAACATGCTTTTACTTCTACTGATAGTTCAATTATATTTTAACTTTTGTATGATGTGTACTTTTAGTTTTAGCTAACTTTTGTAAGCCATCTCCAGTCCCAGAGCTGGGAAGAAGGTGAGATATAAACAAGCAAGCAAGCTTGGGAACATTACTTTTTGGACTGCAGCTCCCAGAATTCCTCCATGCTGGTTGAAGGATTTTGGTACTGATACTTGTAATCCAAAAAGTAACATTTCCAGACTCTGCAAATTGCTTTCTGCACAGGAATTAAGTAGCCTTTAGTTATTAAAGTTGAAGAATGATGCAAGTGTCTAGTAGAGTCTCAGGGGTGTAGAAGAACATATCCCTTTCCTCTACTTCTTTCACTCTCCTCATGTGGGCACAGCTCCTAGACAATGAACAAAATTGCACCACTAAATGTCTCCCAATTAAATGTTATGTCCTACACACATAATTGCAACAGGCTCTGTTTCATTTAAACTGCTTTATTTGTTTGTGATTTGTTTAATGAAACTTTGTTTTATTTGTTTGATGAAAGATCATCAGAAAGTCAAGGAAGACCAAACTGTAATCCTAAACATGTTTATTTGGCAGAGTGCTTGCAGTTTTGGAAAATTTGTAATAAATCTTGAATCAAATAATCATAGAGTTGGAAGAGACCACAAGGATCATCCAGTCCAGCCCCTGCCATGCAGGACCTCACAATCAAACACCCCTGACAGATGACCATCCAACCTCTGTTTAAAAATTTCCAATGAAGAAGACTCCACCACTTTCTAGGGGCAGTGTGTTCCACTGTCAGACAGCACTTACTGTCAGGAGGTTCTTCCTAATGTTTTGGCATAATCTCTTTTCCTGTAGCTTCAATCCATTGTTCTGTCTCCTAGTCCCTGGAGCAGCAAAAAACCAGCTTGCTCCATCTTCAATTTGACACCTCTTCAAATATTTAAATGTGGCTATCATGTCATCTTTCAACCTTCTCTTCACTAGCTTGAGAAGCTCCCTAAACCA